GGCCCAAGTGAAATCATTGAGCAAAAATGACCAGAGTTCACCATCAGGCACCTTGCAGAAGCCCTATTACATGCAGCCGACACATACAGGGACTTTTTAAAGTGCACTCCCCGGGAAGTAACGACAAACCAGGCCCACCATGCTCAAGCGGTTGGTACGGACATACCTTCAGTAAAAGTGGAGCTTTAACCCACAGTCACTGTATCCTTCCCCTTGTATCTCTCTGAGGACTGCCCGTGTTCACCTCTGCTCACCCCGTCTTCTTAGTCAAGCTAGAAAAGGAAGCCCTTGAAAATTGCTCTCTTCCTCACATACTCTAGTTTATATGTTTATAAATATACTTTGAAATCGCTTTCAAACCATGTGGCTTTCTACTTTGTATAGGCTTGGGCTCATTAAAGTCATTAGTTTATTAAAACTCAGAAGTTTAATACCAAAGCGAAAATGAAAATTTGGTCTGTCCTTCGTTGATGTGCTGAGTGTCCCATTAGCTCTAACTAGTAATCATATTGAGATGCCAGCTGGCTGGGAGCTAGGTTTAATCCCTAGCTGGAGGTTAAAGAGCTTTGTGAAGCTTTATCATCAGTCTTCCGTGCTGACTCCTTTGGACAGCGGCTTGTGTCCCAGTCGGAACACCCAGCTACACTCAGGAGTGCGTTCTGACCCTTGTTAGCAGAGACCCATCAAGATGGAAAACGGCAGCAACACAGTAAACAGCATGCATTGTGGTAGCGTTCATGCAAGGTGTGTCCTCTCTCAGCTTCTCAAAGCTACAAGTCAAATAAAATGTAGGCAGAAGGGCCTGCAGCACAGAACACACAGCAACTCCTGATGGCCTGCTTTGCTGGGAGAGGGTGGCAAGGACTCTCCGGACAGCAGCCCACGTTCTTAAATGGAGACTGCGAGGCTCTACCTGCAATTTGCCTCTCCTGTAACTCGGAGATGGCTTTCAGCCCTGGTCTCAGAGTTCCAGAGCAGCTCCTGATCTCTTTGCTTAGGAAACTAGAAACGAGTACAGTCGTCCCTCGCCACTTCGCGCTTCGACTTTTGCGGCTTCACCCTATGCGAGCTTTTTCAAATATATTCATTAAAAAGTTGATCGAGACTGTGAAAATGATACAGTGCACGTTCAGTTGTCTGCGTCAATTATACACCCCTGTATCACAATTAAAATTAAAATTACTGTACGTATGGACTGTAGGCCTATGTATTCGAGCACCCCAGGAATCCTTCAACTCCAGGTGCAACCGCTAGGGTCTGGAACAGATTAACCACAATAAACAAGGGACGACTGTATTTCTTTGCAGATAATAATTTAAACAGCTGGGAACATATAGAATTTTTGTTCGATAGATTAAAAACAACAACAAAACCACGAATGCTCTATTAGGATAAGTGTGGCATCCAGAACTGAGGGTCATCCTATCAGGTTCCCTGATTAAACTATTATTTCTAAACTATTATTTTCCATAAAGAAAAAATGAAAACATTTTCTTACTTTGTAACAAATCTAGCCTCCCTGTTGTTATTTCTAACGTTCAGCATGTATCCAGATTAATCGTACTGCTGGCCTTGCTGCTCCTTTTTTGGGCTAATGTGTTACATGAGAACGTACTCTACCGTCTATTAATAAAAATCTCTTGGGTGATTTCCAAGATGCCTCTGCCATATAAAATTCCATGATATCTGCATTTTGACATTTTAGAGTGAATTCTGTATTAATTAAATGGAAATGCATTGGAAATAATGTATTTCGTGTTGTTATTCTAAATCTATGTCCCAGGAAAATACTTTGTAGAGAATTTATCGTTCAACGTGATGGTCCCATGTCCAATAAGAGGATAATTCAGGTATTATTTCTTACAATAGCAAAGGCATTAGCTTTACAACAATGAATATTAAAATAGTTACCATATTGATTAAGTCAGAACATGGAAGCCAAAATCAGAAATTGGAGGGAATTAAAATCCTTCTTGCTGGATACCCTGTATCAGATCTTTTCCTGCCCCTACCCCTACATTATTTCAATTGCCAAATCCTGTTCACCCCAAGTTTGTTAAACCTCTTACTGCAATCCACTGATCAATGACCTTCAGACCACTACCCAGACTCCTGCCTTCTGCATCATCCCTCCCAATTCATCATCCTATCTCGCCTCTTCTGACTAATCCCAGGTTTGAAGATGGCTTTTGGAGTCAGTGATTAAGGATCAATACTATGACTTCCCTTTCAGCAAGATTTTGGTGAACATTTTATGTCTGAGGAATGACATTGGATTATAGAGTTTAAAGCTAAAATATTTAAAACACACCATTGATATAAGCTTCTTTTTAATTTTTTTCTTTCCTGAGTCAGAGACTTCTCCATTCAAAATAAAAACAATAGCAAATAACATTTAGTAGATGCCTTCACTATACCTGGCTCTGCACTTGACCCTGGTCAAGAAAGACACAGTCCCAAGTCAAGGGATTATGAAAGAAAGGCAATTTAGTATAACAGTAATCATTGATTATAAGACCATGTTATAAAAATAATAACAGCAGCCCTGGCCGGTTTGGCTCAGAGTTAGAGTGTTGGCCCACAGACTGAAGGGTCGCAAGTTTGATTCCGGTCAAGGGCACATACCTGAGTTTCAGGTTAGATCCCCAGCCCCAGTCGGGGTCATGAGAGAGGCAACCAATTGTTGTGTCTCTCTCACATTGATGTTTCTCTCTCTGTCTCTCCTTCCCTCCCTCTCTTCCATTCTCTCTAAAAAACAATGAAAAAATATCCTTGGGTGAGGATTAATTTAAAAAAGTAATAATAACAAAACAGTAATAATAATAGTAAAGCCACTATGAATTGAATGCTGGCTGCAAGGTAGGCACCAGGGTAAGTGCTTTACATGCTTCATCTAATGTAGCCTTTTTAGCCACCCTGTTTGGTAGGTACAATTATTGTCCCCACTTTACTGATAAGGAAACATGACTAAGAAACGTGTCTAAAATGACAGGAAGTACAGGAACTGGGATTTGAATCTAGTTTATCGTAGAATGCAGCTCTAACCTCAGGGCCCCATTTTCCACTCCACCCTCCATCTGCTGCAACAGAGGCCCCCCCACATCTGGACCTGCAAGGCTCCCCACCCTACGCTAAAGAGGCATGAGTGGAGTTTTGAAAATGAAAGCCATCAACAAAATATTTGGAATGATGGTCAAATTTAGAGCAAACTCATTTTATTCACCAAAGTTTCAGATAAAGGATGAATCTCTTGAATATAAAATTTCAGGAAGCACATTTGAGGATAAATAGGTTTTCTGAGGCTGCGTACGACAGTACTGAGTTAGGGGTCTTCTTTTCCTATTAACTATTTCAAGTTAAGTGAAGCTGTATAAATCCATCTGAGGAGTATTAGCGTATAGTCTTTTTTCCAGAAAGAAAATGAGAAAATGATCTTTAGTTTTAGCTACCTTGCTGCTGCTAAAACAATAAACAAATAGAGGAAAAGAAAGAAAGAAAGGAAAAGACCCACCACCATGGCAAGAACTTCAACCACAGGGCCATCTTTTCTGTGTGCCATTTTCAAAACGCCTTTCCCATTATAGCCATCTTCTCACTCTTTAATGTAGGCTTGTAACTTTATTGATTCTCTGGATCCTTTTTCTATTCTTCTTTCTTCCAGCTTCCAATGAATTTTTATCTTTTTACCAGTTTTTCGTTCTTTTAGAATATGAGCATTAAAAATAAAATGGAAAACCAAATGGATCCCTTTTCCCCTTTGATGCTGCATGTGGTCAAGACGGGGACAGTAGTTGATTGTAATGAGATTTGTCCAGCCATAGTGCCTTGAATTGGTTTTGCCTATCTATATATCCCTGCTTCTCCACTGAGGCTATTAAGTCCTGGATGGGAAGGACCATGTGCTTCCATTTCTTTTCCCAGTACAAAGTTCAATGTTTGATATAGAGAGCACATAGAAGAAATGTTGAATGGAATGGAATGAATGAATGAATGAATGAATGAATGAAACAACAGAAATGGCAACACATATTTTTACCTCACTCCCCTCACTCCCCCCATCCCCCAGTAATTACTCAAGTAGCTACTTCCAGTGTAACTACCCAGGAAGGTTAGATTTGTTGTTTTTTAAAAAACATATGTAAATTCTTGGTCACTTGTATAAACCATTCCTTTCTTTTTTCTTACAAAACTCTAAACCAAAGAACTTATATGCAAGGATGTGTAAACAATGGACATACATAGTCAACAATGCTGGGAGGCTGGGGGGGGCAGGATGGGGAAGAGGGTGTCTAAGGGGAAAAAAAGAGAAACATCTGTAACAAAAATAAATTAATAAAAAATGGAAAAAAACTCCTATCAACTGTCAATCAAGTAGTTTAGGAAGCAAAACTCTATATATGCAACCCTGTTTGCATTGGAAGGGGCAAGAATGGAATGTCACAGTTTTGGGTTTTTTTTTTTCCATCCAAGGATAATCTAATGCAAAGATAGTCAAATTTGTCTTCCTACTGGGAAGACAAATCGCATGTGAGCTGGATCCAAAGGAAATGAGGGTGCCCTGACGCAGCTGTGTCAGGGACGGTTTGGTGCTCATGACTTCATTACGACCTTTACCGAAGATCTATATTTCCACTGGGTTTAATGAAGTCAACAATAGCCAACATTTTGTTGAGTGATATTGGACATTTTTTGCTTTTAACTTGATGTATTTTAATTTGTGCTTAACTAACTGCCCCATACCAGGTACTCACTGGCATTTCAGCGACAATTAGTTAAGCGTTCCTCTGTGTTAGCCACAGAGTGGAGAAAAAAAGATAAGGAGAATCAGTGAGACCGAGCCAGTTTAAGAAGAGCAAATTCACTTCCATCAAGGGCACTGGCCTACTCATCAAGCTGCCTGTTCTAAGAGGAGGGGGTTCCACTCTCATCTCCTTGTGCTTCGTTGATGAATAAATGGTTGTCCTCTGAATGCTAATTCACTTGGCTGTTGTGTTTCTTAGTTTTCAGGACTTTATCTCCTGTCTTTCTTCACCATCCTCATCGGGCTAGTGCTTTACTCCTCCACCTCCACATACATAGCCCAGGACCCCCGGGTGTACAAGCAGTTCCGCAATCCTTCAGGACCTGTCGTGGACTTACCAGCCACAGCTCAGGTGGAGCCTTCTGTCACCTACACCAGCTTGGGCCAGGAGACCGGAGAGGAGCCCCACATCCGCGTGGCCTAGGGTGAGGCCCTCGCTACCCACTGAGCACTCAGTGGCCACGTGTTCGCCTATCATCTCTGTATTGTACATAGAGAAAGGTATTTATTAGGTGCAGTTGACACAAGTGGACTGCAAGGTAGCAAATCCAAAAGCCTGTAAAAGGCACAAACTAACCATCCCTGGAGACACAGGCTCTGACCCACCTGACCTGGAGAGGTGCCTCGCATGTGTGTATCCTGATCATGACCCCCCTGCATTAATTACTGTGAAAATTTTCAAAGCAAAAGCAAGTATTATTATTATTGATATTATTATTGTTACTCATATTACACTGACTTTCAGGAGGATGTTTTGTACTCCTGATGGAAACTAGTGCCAGACCCACATGCAATTAACATAAATCCCCCTTTTCTATGGAAGTCACTTTTTAAGATTCACCCTTCAGTTTTTTTTGCAGTCTGTGAGTGCTGCACACCACAGGAGCTCCCTGCAAGAAGTCTCCTTATCCTAGGGACCCGGTGGCCAATGGTTTCCTCCGTTACCTATTGGATCGCCTGCTCAATAAGTATTTTGTGCTGTGACCCATGTGGGGAGGGGCAACTGACCATATAATTCTCTATTCTGGGAATAGATGTAGAACAAACATGTCAGCCTTTTTCTATGTTGACCTCTGATTACTCCATTGCTGTTCTGCTGTGCCACCTTGGTTCTGCCAGTCAAGCTCCTGAAATAATGGGACAAGGAACGTTCCATCTCTGTGGCTTGTGGGACACCCAGGAGTAATATAGTATGTGTTTATGGTAATGTGTATTTTTAAAAAATCTTTTCACCCCTCCCTATGTCCCCTCTTCAAAAAATAGATTTGCATTTTCTTTTTCCCTGAATTTCTTTGGTGATGATATGGAAATTAATCAAGGTGTTAGCAAAAGCCATGGTCCTCTGCCCTCTGAACTGAGTGACACTCTTTCTGAAACACAGAAGCACGCAGCTGCCTGTGTTGTGGAGACGTATCGGCCACGTCGCCTCCCCAGTCCAGGTGCTGATATGGACAGGCTCTGACAGTACTCGACAGATCGGGCCACTTTGTAGTGGGAAAGATGTCACCAAGAGAAAGCCTGGCATTTTGGTCATATTTGGCATCCGTTCCATAACAAGATATGACAACAATATATCTGTATCTTATGGATACAGAGAATATTCCAGGTCCTGGGATGGCTCTGAAGGATGCATCACTACTCTAATTCTGTTAAAATAGCCCCTTTCCAAACACAGAAAATAAAAACACACCACAAATCCCTATAATTTAGAAATAGATTCTATGTGTCAGTATGTGAAATGGTCTTTACATTTGGCTGGCTTCAATGTTGTTCAAAAAAATCCTCACTAAAGGAAAAGTAAATGCTTATAAAATGTTGGGCAATTAAAATCAATGAATCTTAAGCAAATCACCAGAGGGGACTCTGTAAAGCAGAAGGACAGATTGCAGCTTAGTCAGGATACCTACACAGCCCGAGCAAGGCCTAAGTCCGAAGGCAAGCATCCCATGCCGTCAGCACCCACGTGGCCCCTCTGCGTGCCTTCGACCCTAGGCCCTAGCAGATGAGGAAGAAAATATCTTTTTTCTGATAGCAGATCTTAGGCTCATCTGTGTTCAACCCCCTTAGAAACATGTTTTATTTTCTGCGGGGGTAAAAAAAAATCAATGTTAGAGCTATATATAGTCAAAACAACTTTGCCAATGTCCGCTCTCTGCTACCTTTTAAACCAATTAAATACCTTTCTCTGAATATTTTGTCCATTGAGATATGAAGACCTTTAAAGACTGTGGTTTTATTTGTGTGTTTACATTTCTTTGGTTTGCGTAATTTGCTTGATTTATTGCATTTTTTAGTATTTATTTTAAGCCAAATGTTTTAGTCTTTTTTTATTCATCTTTGTGACACTAATTTGTAGATGCTTAGTAAAGTCTTAGGAGAAATAAGTGGATGAAAGTTTTCCTAGTCGACTCAGTGGACTGGAAATCTTTTTTAAAATTTAAATTTCAAAAGGGTTTGCAATCAGTGGATGGCTAAAAGTTGCCATCTGAATTATTTTCTAGGACATTTTAATTGACTCCATTGTACGGAAACCAAGTGTGAATGTCAAGGTGAATTCACTGTATACCTTTTATCATCCAGTGTCCTCGTACACAAGGCTTCCATGTCACCGTGCTGGTTTGTTTCCATTTAGAAAGGTTGGTAACACAGAAATGTCCGAGTTTGGGAGTTCCAGATCAGCTCTTTGGGAAAAAAAGAAAAGAAAATAGCAGAAAACAAACCATTTTTCTGGGTAAAAACATTGATCATTTGGGAATGGGGTGGAAAATGGGTGTAGGACATTAACTCCAGCTGTTTTCATTTCTGAAATTTCATAACCTCAGTAGACACCAGCAAAAATGTCAGCTTTTCAACGTCCCACCCCACCCTCCTCGGTGAATGAGAGGAGCAACTTGCATAGAATTTGATTGGATGAGCAAACCACAGCTTTCCTAACCGGCACCTAGAGATCAGTGGAGGTTCTCACTGCCTCAAAGAAAACTTGCACTGGGGACAGAGCTTGCCTTGGTCACGCCTTCCCACACCTTCGAATTCTGAAATTCACAACCAGGTAGACCAAGCAATAGAAAAATTTGCACCACTGTGTCCCATGAAAATATTTCAATGTTTAGTTTAGATATGCTAACTTGTGCTATTAACCTTTTGAGAAGCGTGTAGTATTGTTTGTTTTGGGTTTGTTTTTCTTTTATAACCACTTAGTAGTCCCCAGCTAGCTACCAGTACAGATTTTACCCCATGGGTAGGATTCTATCGTCAAGCCACAAAGCAAAGCACACTAATCCAGACACTGCAAACGAAAAATACGAACCAAAAAAAAAAAAGAAAGAAATTTACACCGATACGTTGAACAAACTCTCCATTTTTGATATTTGCATGCTCCCCTACGGACTGGCTGTGGCAGTGTAATGCCTGCATAATGTTTTCAAATAAAAATAAATGCTTTACGAAAGCCCCGCGTTCTTGGTTTTCTGTGTTTGTCGGCACTATGACAACCGCGGAAGTGGCTCCTGTGGGATGCTGGAAATAGCAACAAGAGTCGATAGCAGGGCACATGTGAAAATAAAAACCAGAAAGAAAATATTCCCAAATTAGGCAGGGTGCAGCTGGTCTCAGGGCTGTCGTTTCACAACGCCAAATTGAACATGCTGGTGATTTGCAAAATTGATTACTTATCCGCATGCTTAAGAAGGCTCTGGGGCTGCAACCTCCAGGCCCACATTTGAAACACATGTAGGACAATATACATTCACTCTCAAGAAACAGTTTCTCATAAAAAAGAAAGCCCGGCGTGTGCTGCCCTTGGCACAGTGCCAGCCGTAAAGGGCGCGAGTCTCCCCGGGCGCGGCGCTCGCAGAGCCGGCTGCGGGGCCTCCCACGCGCAGCTCCACAGCGGCCTTGGCGTCCCTGCCCCACGAAATGAAGTCACCCAGCCACCCCTTCACCCCTTGGAGAGGACTGTGTATACATTTCATGTTCTTGCCATTCTTGTTCACAATTAGACTTCAAAAAGTAAGTGAGCCGAAAAGACGGTGTGTCCAAGTTGTAGCTCTAAAATATTTTTTTAAAGAAAAACATTCATTTTTCAGTAAAAAAGGAATGCAGCACACTGATCCTTTATAGTCTTCTTAAGTTGCGATTCATCATGGTCTGCTTTTATAAACACGTAGAACAGTACGTGCTTAATAGAAATAATTTGCTTGAAAACGTGACTCGTCGTTTTCAAAAAGTTTTTCCTTGAAAAATGTAAATATTTCTCTGTTTATTTGTTTATTTTTTAGTAAGCTCTTGGATCAGAAATGAAATACAGTTGAACTTCAACCCAGCCTGTGTTCAAATGCCCAGCTATCCTAAATTACTGGGGTCCAAGTAGTACATGTGATAAATGTGTAAGTCGTGTTTAGTCTGTCTTCCCAGTGAATTATAATTTTCTAAGAGAAAAGACTGGGTTTCCTAAATGCTTGGAAGTTCTTGCAAAGGTTAAGATAAGGCAGCACTTGAATGATTTGTGACTATTACTATGAGAGAAAAAGAGAAGCAAGTAAAACAGCAGGAAGTTGTAATGTATTATGTTGTCTTGCTGTTCCATAGGAAAGCAGATTGTAACATCTGAAATAACAAGAACTGACCCCAGAGCCCGCTCACCATCTCTGGCGCACTCGCGCATCGTGTCTTTAATGCACTCAAATTTCTAAATCAGAAATACGAGTGCAAGGGTATTCAGTCACAAACCACCCCCCCTTCCTTTTTTTTTTCTGTAAAATTCCTGTTCTTGGAGAGGAAGAAATCATCAGTTTCACTTCAATGCACACTTGAATTTTTCACAAACCCTTAATATGTTTGGCCATCATTCCCGTTGGCCCTGGGATATAAAACAAAACAAAGCAGAGATCCATTTTTTACTTGCAAATTGTTTTTGATTTTATTAAGTTGCTTCTTAATTGTGTACACTGATCTTTTTTCCTTTCTGCCATTTTTATTTGAGTTTTGTTTGTTGTTTGTCTTTTTTCTTTCTGCAGGCATAAAAAGAAGGCTCACTATGGGCCACCTAGACAGTGTCTCTGTCCTTTATTCTTCATGTGGTCAAAAATGTTTAATTCAGAAAAATAATAATACAGCTGGAAAGCCCACACCTACCAGATGGCCTATCATCGGTGCCCGAGAGCACAGGCCATGTGTGTCACTTTGCAGACAGCAGACACGTTGCCCCCAAACACTGCTGAAGCCTGATTAACAAGGAACACTAATGATCAGAGGGAGATCTCTGGGAACAGACTAAAACTGGGAGCTTTCATCTGGACAGACAAAGACTTGATGTGAATAAGACTAAATCTATGAAAGCAAGAAAATGAGCTTGTTCTCTGGGTCTCAGCGTTAGAGCTGGCGATGGTTCCATAATGCTGGGAGGATAATTTCAGGAGAGATAAATATTACTTTACACACTGGGCAGTAATCTTCCTGAACTTATTGCCCCAAAGGGACGGCACTGGCTAAAAATGTGTTACGTCACCTAATAGATGGGAGAGCTGCAAATTGGGACATGAAGTGAGCTGTGTGATTCATTATCCAATCTCTTAACATGTTCAGAGGGAAAGCAGGCACTAGTGATAATTCTGTCTGGACAACAGGTATAGACCCTGTCTGTCACAGGTGCACCTGGATGTGTGATCACCTGGCTTTGAGAGGTCCACCTGCACATCCCCTTCCTGTGGGCAGTTGGTAGCACAGTGGAGAGCTCTGTCTTCCTGCTACGAGAGGCAAAATGTGGGTGAAGAGGACCATCTGCTCACAGTGGTGAGGCTGCTGTTACTGTATTCTTTTTTCTGGAGGGCAGCCCCGACCCGGGGTTCTCATCTTACTTCTCAAAACTTTGTGGACATTTCTGTAGCCAGGAGTGATAGAAAAGTGAGCAGAGTTCCAATGGTAGTATCTTGAACACCTTCACCATTGATTCATTGCTAAAGGTGTACAAATGTAAGAGCAATAGAGAAATGTGTGGCTAAAGGAGGCAGTGCTGGTGGAATTATTGAGAAGTAAATTACATTAGAAGCCAACCAACCCACACATTTCAAGAAATGCTGGATGACAAATAAATGCATTCATGAATGAATGCATATTCCTCATGGGAGGAAGAAGTAGTAGCCTAAGTGCTGACAAGCATGTCCCTTGGGGCAGAGGATCAAAACCATTTTGCATGTGTGCACCTACCTTTCCCCCAGCATTGTCCACTAGTGCCATTCCTGGGATTTGAGGCTAAAAGGTTGAAACATGGGGTGATACAAAGTTTGTGCAATGTTGGGTCTTATTCACACTTTTCTTGGCCTTGTCTTCGTGGGCAGGGGAATTATTTTCATGGTACCTGAAGGTTTGATAAATTTTAAGTAATAGTAATAATTGCAGTTTCACAGATGGTTGGCCACCTGCCAATTTCACAGCAAACTAGAAAAGCGATAAAGAAAATCTACTTGCTCTTAAAATGACTACTTTACCAAATGAAATTACTACACAGAGAGGAACCAGGCTAATCACTGGAATAATCAAAACAGTCTCATTATGGGACTCCCTGTGAGCTTTTGTTTGAATTCTCTAATGTAGTTTTTGGCATTAAATAGGATTTTAAAAGCTAACTAGGTCACACATGCACACGAATGGTTGAGTGAATCACATAACCGCTTTCTGTGCCCCCAGACGCTGCCCATCAGGCTGCGTTTTAATTAAAATGAAAATTGTCAGGAGGAGAGGACAACTTAATGTGGAGAGTTTGGCGTCACCGTTGAAAACTGAGTCTTCGCTGGGCATTCAGTTTTCAGTTCATACTCATGACTTCCAGCACCAGTGAAGTTTCTTTTCATTGTAGTCCTCAGCTTAGACGCAGAACTGGAGAGCTGCAGGGAACACTGGAGATCATTTTGTTCAACATCTCGAGTTGTTTTATGACATGTAAGTGTGGAGATGTTTAGTTAAAGCAAGATGTTTAGCCTGGAGGAGCTGTATCCTTGTTCATCACTGACGAAATTCTGTGGATAACGACGCAGCATGTGATTCCCAGTTAAAGAAGCTGGTCTGTGGCCACTAGAACCCAGAGTCGGAGAGTTAATGCAGATCCTTCCCATTTAAGGGGCCACACAGTTTGTTAGGCATCTTGGTTAACTGGTCCTTAGGAGAATCCCAATTTCCAACCAACTCTGAAAGTGGAATTCCAAAGAGAAAAAAAAAAGAAGAGAGAAGCACCTGGGACGTGTCCAAGGTAAACTGCCTTTGCCC